TAAAAAATGAAGAGTGCTTCGACAGATATGGTTATGGCAGGATTCCAACATGTCCTCCTTAAAAAAAAAAAAAACAGGAGCCGAATGGGACCATTAATCTGATGAAAACATTTCCTGGGAGAGAGGAAAGTGTCTCAGAGGCAACAAATCATCACAAGAAGTAATTCCACCTTAAACAGACGGTTGACAATGTCCTCCAGCAGGTGCGGCCATCGATGAGCTACTGCAGATCTGGCAGACGATCTATGATACATAACTCAATTGGTAATCGAAAGCACATTGAGTTTCACGTCTTATTTGTCACGACTTTAAAGCTTTAATATGCAGCATTTCCACATTAAAATGTCTAAAAACACTACACTTATGTTATATATGTTGTTGTGTATGTAGATTATCCCAAATGTTTCCAACGATGTTGAAACTCAGATAAATCTCTCATTTTATTCCGGTAACATTTCACAGGTTGCCTGAGATCTCCTTTCTGCTTGTGTTTGTCTGCCAGACACTCAGTCATCAACTTCTTATCCAGTCCACATAAAACTGAAATCAGAGTACACTGAGGTGTTTCTTTTTGCCAGGTTTGCCTCCTGGCACCCTGGGGCTAAATCAGCTAATGCAAAGTTGTGTGTTTGTACAGTTTTCAAGGAGCTCCGCTGGCTAGCCATGCTGTTAACTAATGAATCCTCGCTCTGTGACGCTTGGATTGATTGACGTTTGAATGTCCTGATATTATTTGTTGAAATCAGTTAGTTCATGCGTCACATTTTGTTTTACAAGAAGATACAATGATTGGATTTTGATATAAAAACACAAATATATCGATGTTTTTGTACTTTTCTTTGGCATACATTGTTAAGCAGGGGTACGATATGACTGGGGACATAATCTTAAAGATATTTTTCAATTTCATCTGAACTTTAAGCCACATTTTTACCAACGTTAGGATCTTATTTTATCAGAGAAACAAGCTAAGTCAAAGTTAGCAGCAGCTCTGCTCACAGTTCTTTGTCTGCTGAACAGCATTGAGGAAACAGTGATTTTTTAAGGTGGAACTGCTTTATTCAGTGTTTTCACCAATTTTAATCAGCGGGTTTGTTCGTGGAGGAGGAGATTTCTGCGGACAATTCAACTACTGGTAAAAACTTCCAGTATGTCTGTATCTTAAGTTATCAGAGAAACAAGTACGTTTACCTGATAATTAATCGCAATCCTTTGCTCACTTTAAGAACAACCTTCAGTGCTTTTTGGGGTAGATTAAGTTTAGACTATTTACTCTGAGCTGAGCACATTTGCTCTTTGAGTTTGGGTTCCTAGTTTCCCACGCTACGAGAAAACCAAACCAAATACGAATAAAGTGAAAGGCAACACAGGACAAATAGATAAGACCCATGACAGAGAGGTTGCGTCAGATGCAGACATCTCTGAGGAGGTCAAATTAAATCCGCTGCAGTCAGGAGTCGGTGGATGTTAAACTCCCACAAGCCCCGGCGGCAGATCTGTGAGTGTTTGACAAAGTCGTTAAAAAGCGCTCAGTCTGGACTTTCTCATTACGGAGGGGACGGCAGGGTCAGGTTGACATTTAGACCGGAGCTAGGCAGGAACCATTAGGGCTGCTAGGAGATCCCAGTGAGCTCTCCCTGTATATGTGAGGGTGAGTTATCTGCTAATTACACTGAGTTTTGGGGGATATAACAGTTTATCACACACTCTGTTGGTCTCTGTTTGTGCCAACAAAGGATGGTGGGAAAGCAAAGAGTCACCTATGGCTCTGCCACTGTGGACAAAATAATAGAAACACCAGATCATTTAAGAAAAAGAGTCATCGATAAAGTAGATTATGTGTCGGATTACTCAAAACACCTGTACATTTCCTCCAGGACGCTGGCCATAAGTGACAAAAGGCCTCTAAAACTACTGCTTACAGTACATCCAAAGCCCACAGGGTTCCCACTCATTTTCCAGGACCTTTCCAGGACATTTTCCAGGGGGTTTTCTTGATAGCACAGTACAATCAGTCATAAAAGCTGCCATTTGGGGCAAATTGACTACATTAATTTGGCCTCAGGAAGAACTAACAGTTCAAATGTATCTTCTCGAAAGTTAAATTGTTAACTGCGCGTACAATTCTCATCACTGTGCATGTATTTATCAACCACGGCAACAAGAAATATGATCATTAATAGGCTGCATGCATGGAGGTAAGAGCTCACAGCTCTGGAAAAAACAGACTTGATGCTGAAAAGATCTCTGCAGGTCAGCTCCACTTTGCATCTGGTGAACCTGCTTTGAAGTGTCTTATAGTTTATCCATCCAACAGTCTAGTTTCAAACAAAATGTGCACCTAGGTTTATGTAGGCAATCTGAATGAGGGGCTAAAACACAAACATTTCCAGGACAAGACTGACAATTTCCAGGAGTTTCCGTGACGCGTGGGAAACCTGAACAAACTGTACTCTGCCCTGAAGACTCTCTGTAACTGCATCGAGATTCACATCTGATTAAAACCACCAAAGAAGCCTTTAATGCAGAATATTAGCTGTTCATCGCGGTGTTGAACAACCGAGGGAGATTGAATCTGCTGATTTAATGTGACTGAGCCCTTTTGGGAAGTGAATTTCCCCTTTCTTCATCCCTCAGATGACTGCAGGCTTTCCTTCTCGGAGCTCCATCCAATCACTGCAAACAGTTCAAGATGCAGCGTGACAACAAGCCAACAAGAAACAAAGCCTTTGCATCTTATTAACCATTTGAAGATCAGAGAACAACCCAGTCCAGATAAACAGGAATATATACATATAAAATACCCAGTACCGGAGTTAAAGCACCAAAAACTGCACTTAAAGCTGCAACAATCCATATTTTTATATTACAATTATAAATGAATGCTATTCAGTGTTGGCTGGATGTGTAAATAGGCAACTGTTTGCTAACACGTTAGCACCATATAACGTGTACAGCTTGTTCCCAACCAGCCAAATAATCAGTTAATGCTTCTTTAATGTACGTGCACACTCAATTTCTCTGAATATTATGCAAATTTGCAGACTGACAAGTGTTTTTTCAGCCATTACCAAGGAGATAAATGTTTATTTGACTGTTTAAAGAATCAAGTTTAGGAAGTTAGTCTCTGTATTTGGCTAAATAAATTGCCACACACACTTTCGGGTTTTGAAAATCACTAAAATAACAAAAAAATCTGTGTCATTGTGCAAATAATCACAATATCTAGGCTGTGAATTAGGTTACAGATTACAGGAGAACTGGTTTTATGTAAACATTTTGCTGACATTTTGTGGAGCAAATATAAAACATAAATTGCTATGAATATATTTAAAGCTACATCTGACTTACAATCTCTTCTTTTAGCTGTTTATTTAGATAAATAGTGCATTCAGTAAGTAAAAGTTCTTGTTCTGCAGTGAAATGTGACATGATTAGGTTGTTAATTATTTCATTTTATTGTTGTATCAGGTCAACGTGGAGCTAGTTTTAAGATCTTTGTATGCAGTTATAAGGGTTTCCCCACATGAGGGTCGGGGCCCTCCAAAGGGTCACAAGATAAATCTGAGAGGGTTGTAGGATGATTAATGGGAAAGGAAAGAAAAAACAACAAGTCCTGGTACACAAATGTATATATATGTTGTTTTTCTCTAATCTTTGCTCTTTGAGCCTGAAACTGTTGTTTACACGGAACCATGTGAGAGGTTAAGAGGGGAAATGTGTCTTTGCTGGAAATGCTGACGTCTCAAAGAGACATCTGAAACGTGACAAGGAGCCTCAACCAGACACTTTGCAAGAGGTCACAAGACTAAAAGGTCGTAAACCGCTGGTTCAAACTTTCATGGATGGTAGTTAACATATTGTGCCTTAATTTAGTGTAAGATCTGAAAAGTAACCAGTAAGTAGTGGAGTAAAAAGTATGGTAATGTCCTTTTAAATGTAGCGAAGGACACGTAGAAAGTTGCATAAAAGTACCTCGAAATTGCTCTAAAGTCTACTTGAGTAAATGTTTCCACCAATATAACTACATGGAGAGAGAGAGAGAGAGAGAGAGAGAGAGAGAGAGAGAGACTAGTGGAGATTCACTACGAGAAAGGAAATAATTATCTTGTCATCCGACGTTGTGTCGTGAGATTTGCCCCCAACTGAGCAGCTGATTGTCTGCAGGTCAGAGGGAAGCGGTGTGTGTGGTCTCCGGATGGTGCTACTACTGAAATATCTGACCGTTAAGAGTTTAAATGAGTGAACGGAGGAAGCAGCGAGAGCTTACTGGCAGTTTACAAAACAGTTTTAAAAGTCAGTGAATGCTGATGAACAATTTCTCCTACTGGGATCAATTATGTAATTAAATGTATTAGAAGTGGTTGAGCTGAACTGGAACTCAAAATCTCTCTCCAACAACGTCCCGTGTCATTGCTCAATCATCTGTGTGCAACATTAACCCATTTTTCTAGGTTAATTAAAGGCAGAGACACTTCACCCATGGCCGCTGAAACACAAAGCAACAATTTTCTGCAGATGAGTTCCATTGTCCATGCGTTTCCTGTCCCGTCGTGCTGCAGCCAAGCGCTCTGATGAGTAATGGGCAGCGAATCGGCTTCGTAACCGCTGCCGTTCGGTCTAATTGCAATAAATATTCAACCCATTTGCCGTCTTAAAAAGGTCAAAGTGTGACCTCAACAATCAATCGTGGGGCGATTTGAGAGCTGACGCAGAACGAATGTGATCAACCTGTTAGCACTTATCACATAAAGGTTCACTAAACTGAGGGGCGGTCTGGACTGGTTCCCAAACTGGGGGGTTGCCAAATTGTGGGTCACTGAGGTCTTCCTGATTTAAAGGGGTGTAAGAAAACTTTATATATACACAGCAGAACTATATGTCAGTGTTATATCCTGACAGTAGAACATGAGGCAGAAAATCTGTGAAAAAAAATCAGGTTTCATTGACTTGTTCTAGTGCTCCTAATGTGTTTTGTAAGAATCCACTGGGCCCGAATGAAAACAACCAATCAGAGCAGAGAAAGATATAAAGACACTTTGAGTTGGAAGCTTAAAGATAGTTGATTCGAGTCTCATTCCCAGAGTCCCAAAGCGCCTGTATTTGTCTCCCTGGGAACAACAACAATCAATCATCTTTCTCGGCTCTGGTTGGCTTACAAATCCCGTAAGGTGCATTAGAACAAGTCAGAGGAACCTGATTGTTATCTGTCTCATGTTTTCCTGTCAGGATATAGTGAAAGTTTCAGCAACAAAAAATTATTTCATAAAAGTTATCTTACTGCAGCTTTAAGTCATATGATTGTTAAAAAAAAACAAAGTACAGACACAATTCCTAAAAATATCAAGAAAACTAAAATAAAATACCTCATTCATTCACAGATTTCTTTGTAAAGTTTATCAATAGTTCTGTGCTGTTACTGTTATACATGAAATAGAATATGAAACATCCATAAAATACGTCACTTAGTCAGTTTACTCAATGATAGAAACAGGATCCTTCAAGGAAAAAGTTTGGTGTCAAAATCTGTCAAATCAAACACATTATAGACTATCTGTCATCCATAAACTCAAAGGACTTTATGCCCCCCCCCATTTTCTCCTACTACTGAATCAAAGCATCATCCAGCCCATCCTCATATACTGCTCCTCCTGTTTCTACAACATGCCAACTGTCATCAACCGGACAAAATTCACACGCATCACCAACACAGCGGCCAAGATAATCGGACTCCCCCAACACCCAATCTCAGAACTACACAACAGGGCCACAGAACTGGACATTACACACCCACTTAATCAATATCTCACCCACTGCCTTCTGGGCCGAGGTACTGAACACTGAGGTGCAAAAGAGTTCGCTTTGGAAAAAGCCTAGGGGTCGACAAAGCTTCATGGGAGGTCGCGAGGACTTCTTGATATCAAGGCAAGAAATATACACAGGAGGCCTATATCTAAGTAAAGGTAAATGTTAAAGAAACTGTCTAATAGAAGCCTATTGTTTGTATGATTGTTAAACATGATAAAAAACACATTATACAGACATTGCTGCTCTAAACAAAGGGGCGCGATTGAGTGTAAGGTCCACCTGTCATGTATTATTTATTGAATTGTTTGTTTTTTAAGGATTTGTTGATTGTGGATGGCGTATATCTTTGTTGCCTGCAGGTGCAATAATGATGAATTTCCCCCTTTGGAAGACAATAAATTGAATCTTATATCAAATTGGATTTTTTTTGTTTAAGTAACGTGTTAGAAAAATGTAAATCAACACATTTAATTGAATGATTCTTAATGATTCAATTTCTGATGCCACCTTTAGATATTTCCACAATAATAATGTGTTTTAGAGTTCAAATATCTTCATTTGGGGGCTTTTCCAAGAAAATATTGACATAAATGTGATTGCTTGCCATTAAAAGATTATATTTCTTCCACCCAGTCCCTCTCTGTCATATTTACCACTCAGTTTGCAGACTTTTTGCATACAAGAGCTTCCCCACTATATATATTTAAAAAAATAAAGAGTAATGACAGGTGACACAACTGAGGGTTAAAACAGGTGCAGCCACTCTACAATCAAACAGGTTTTTAAGTTCACACACTTTTTACACAGATTTAGTTAAAACCACCAAACTCAATTAAACTTCTGTCTCACCTTATCAGCTGTCAACTGGGAATAAAAAGATCACAGCTCCACGTTTCTCATAATTCCCCCACGAAAAGGTTTCTGTGTCTCTGCGCCGTAACTCCAGAAGTTCAGTGTGTCAGCTGTCACATTCAGACCTGCATTAAATGAAACACACACACTCTCACACACTCTCTCTCTCTCTCTCTCTCTCTGTGTGTCAGTGCTGCAGAGACAGTCAGCAGCTCTGTGGACGAGAACAAGCTCACACATTTGGAGTAATATACCCACAACATCGTCATGTGACCATCACAACCCCCCCCCCCCCAGCGAGAAGTTTGCCTCGAAGAGCAGCTGTGGAGGAGAAGGAGGAAGAGGAAGAGGAGGAGGATGAGGGAGCTGCGACTGGCGCCCCTCATGCTGGCTGTGGACGTGAATACTGGAGCATTCTACTGAATCGTAAGTTTAAGGCAGCGCACGCAGAGAAAACAGGGGACAGCAGGATCATCAGGATACAAGGTGGGAAGACTAACTTAATTTCAGACAGGAAACAAAACTGTATTTTTCCTTCCCAAAAAAACGGCTCTTTAGTTGAGTGTAATGCATTTGAAAGAAATAATTTCCATTTATCCTCTTATTTTGTAATTTTTTTTTTAAAAAATAAGACTAAGGGCAATTACATTTATAAAATGGAATTAAATTACAGTGTTTTATACATTTAATAAAATCATCAGTTTTCCTTCAAAATACCTGAGCAGAGGAACATTGTGCAAAATCTAATATCCCCCGAGACACAAATCAAAGATGCACAGCAGAATTATCTCTGTGTTCAATATTAAGTATAAATAACTGTAAAATATTAGTATTTGCAGGCGATATATGGTGTAGTAAGAAGGGAATAGTTGTGGCAATTTGTTCATTAAGCATACAAGAATCTGTCTTTCGGAAAGTAATTCAAAGTCATCCATGAATATCTCAACGCAACCGTTACACACTCTCGTATATGAAAAACAGCCCGATTTGAAAAACAGGTGTTTTTCACTGTTGAGCATTCACTCCAAACACAGTACACAGGTCTGAGTTTCATGGACAGTAAAAACAGACAGAGCTTTCTCAGCTTCCGTGTCCATTGGACCCAAGGGCCATATTTGCTGTCCAGTCCAGCCTGTCATCCAGCTGAGCCCAGATATTTATATATCCTGAAAACTCCCACATCGACCCCCCTCCGATGGACACGGGTTAGTGATGTGGTCCTTCTGCGAGTCACCACCATCTCCCTTGTCCTGGAGTTTCAGTTGCAATGGGCCCACCACCATCACG